AAGTTGTGTTAAATTGCTTAACCCATTCATTGGCAGATTATTTAGCATATCCCTGCTGAAAAATCCTAGGCTAGTTGGCTGGTTTTAGCTGGATTTTTCAGCAGGGATTTCAAGGAAAAACTCACTTTATTTTGACTTATCATATCTGAAAACTATAAAAATGTGTACTTGTCTAGAAAATGTTTCTTGATTTTATTATATTTAAACTAGGGTTGGTCCGATAGATGCTATCGTCCATCGCCGATGGCTGACAGACACCACGATGCTGAGCCAGCATCACGATCCTACGCCCCGTCCCTGTTGCAACGAAAAATTCACACTCAGGCCCTGTTTACACTAATAGTTCTTAGTTTTTAAAAGGCATTTTAGAATGAAAACGATCCACATCCACTCTGGCGTTTCACCTAGCATTTCTGAGCAGTCCTCTTTCCACACTACTGCTGAAAACATACATCACGTGACCACACACAGGCACAGACACACACACACTGGCATGCGCTCGAGACAGCGGGTCCAGGCAGTTAGCGGGTCAGTAGACTGGTTCAATCTTTCGCTTTTACGCTTGTACTTATTAATTTTAGCGAAAGCCTCTCTGTTATTACTGTGGGAAAGAGTGAGTTAATGTTTATTAATAAAATACTGTATATCTTACTATCATTATTGAACAAGTATTGTATAATTCGCACACTGATGACGACTTGCCTTAGTTTACTGTAAATGTTGAAATTAGCATTGAATGTTTGCAATTTTATTGAACTTTTATTCCAAAACTTCATTATTTTCTCCCTGCATTTTTTTTCTCAGGAGAAACTGAACACGCAGGATCAGTTCAGTCGTCATCTAACACGACCTCCACCAGACTACAAACACCCTCGCAATGGAGTTGGAGCTCCACAGACAAGCTTATACTCAGGTGGGGATGCTGTTTTCAGTGACATACAATATGGGAAGGGAATATCTAGTTAAGTCGGGGATTGTCCAAACTGGGTCCTGGAGAGCCGGTGTCCTGCAGATTTTAGCTCCAACTTGCCTCAACACACCTGCAAGGATGTTTCTAGAAAGCCTAGTAAGAGCTTGATTAGCTACCACAGGTGTGTCTGATTTGGGTTGGAACTAAACTTTGCAGGACACCCCTGCTGAAAAAAAACAGCTTAAACCAGCCTAGGCTGGTTGGCTGGTTTTAGCTGGTCGACCAGGCTGGTTTTAGAGGGGTTTTGGCCATTTCCATTCTGGTCTTAGCTGGTCAGGCTGGGAAATGACCAGCTAAAACCAGCTTGACCAGCTTAGCCAAGATGGGAGTCCAGCCAAAACCAGCTATATCCAGCTTAAACCAGGTTGGTCAAGCTGGTTTTAGCTGGATTTAGCTGGTCATTTTCCAGCCTGACCAGCTAAGACCAGGCTGGAAATGGCTGGAAATCAGCCTGGAAGTGGCCAAAACCCCTCTAAAACCAGGCTGGTCAACCAGCTAAAACCAGCCTAGGATGGTTTAAGCTGGATTTTTTAGCAGGGATGTGTATGTGTGCTTTGCTGTTGTAGTCAATCTTCTCGTTCACCTACAGCAAAATTCTTATAGACTCACAGAAAACTGCTTACTTGCGCATACAGAAATAAGGTGCACACAGCAGCAGGTTATGTTGCCCGTTTAGATCCTTTTGCACTCTAGAAGAGCGTAATGCTTTTACCTTGGGCGTGTACTGAAAGAAATCAATATTTATATCTGTCTTGTGACCACAGGCTGTGTAATCCTACGCCAGCAGAATGTCCTCCGTCTCACTGTGGTGGTCGAAAAATTCCCAGTTTTTGAATAAAAGCCACTGGTTTCCTCCAAAGACAAAGGTATGCATTACTGAAATCCCACACACCTCACGTCTGTTCCAGAGGTCACCCTACTGAAAAAAACAGCTTAGCAGCCTAGGCTGGTTTTAGCTGGACGACCAAGCTGGTTTTAGAGGGGTTTTGGCCATTTCCAGGCTGGTTTCCAGCCATTTCCAGCCTGGTCTTAGCTGGTCAGGCTGGAAAATGACCAGCTAAAACCAGCTTGACCAGCCTGGTTTAAGCTGGATATAGCTGGTTCTGGCTGGGCTCCCAGCCTGGCTAGGCTGGTCAAGCTGGTTTTAGCTGGTCATTTTCCAGCCTGACCAGCTAAGACCAGGCTGGAAATGGCTGGAAACCAGCCTGGAAGTGGCCAAAACCCCTCTAAAACCAGGCTGGTCAACCAGCTAAAACCAGCCAACCAGCCTAGGCTGGTTTAAGCTGGATTTTTCAGCAGGGACCGGCCCTCCAGGACCGAGTTTGGACACGCCTGAGTTAAGTTATTCAAAGTTATCCAGTTAAAGTCACTAACAGAGTTGACATTTATTTTCCACCATTTTGTGTTGTTGTGGAAGATGCTAACCTGAAACCTCATAATTTTATGTATTTTAATTATATTTTTGTTTTTAAAATCAGAAATTCACTGAAATGTAACAATAACAGAGTTGACATATAATTAATCTACTCTTGGTGTATCCTAAACATTTTGTACAAATTAATTTGAGAGGAATAATGACATACCTCAATGCCTTTTACAGTCTCCCGCCAGAGGGAAATGACATCACTTGGAGCAAGTCACATGCTTTTTCTATCAGCGAATTACAGTTTGTTCTGCTTTTTCTATAATCAATGTCCCCGAAAACATACAGACAGGCATAAAATGTATTATTATGGCAAATTACAAAATGTTCAGAAAATAGATGATTTTTTTTAATGTTTGACACACAAAAAGATGAAAAATGGTTCCTAAATACACAAACTAAATTTTTTTAAATATATATATATATATTTTTTTTTTTAAGCGGTTTTTCACTTTTAATTTGATAGGACAGTGGAGGTTACAGACAGGAAAGTATTGGGAGCAGAGAGAAGTGAAGGGTCAGCAAAGGGCCTCGAGCCTTGAATTGAACTTGGGTCGCCGTGAACACCATGGTGCTATTCACCTTATCCATCGCCGACAAGCGGGCGCTGCCATTTGAATCTTTCTGGCTTGAGACTTCCGGTCTCATTCACTTCCATTCATTTTTAGACATTAAAAACTGCTCGTTTTGCTGTTTGATGTTGTAAACTGATATTTTCTTATTATATTCTTCTACTTGGTCTGTATAGTCATGCAAACATTTGTTTGTAGAGCAAGTAGTTTGACCGTTTTCTGCCGTTAATTATTACTAGTCATTTTTCCCAAAGCCGAGTGAATCAGAAGTTCTAAAACAATCGCGAAAACAGGCGCACTTCCGCATTTTAGAATAAGGTCAATATATATTGGCGCCGACAAACAAACATTATTTTTGATTTACTATTATTTAATTGACATCATTTATTATCATTTGTTTTTATTCATTATTCCAAAATAGGAGTGACATGCTTTAAGGCTTTAGCCTCTTTACACAGTGATAACGGTAAATATCGGAAAATTTCTGGAACAACTTTACCGGTAAATTCATAAACAAGCTGTTCACACAGGAACGGACGTTCTGGAATTTTTCCGGAAAAGACCATTCGCATGTCCATTCCAAAACACAGGTAAATTCTGACATCATCAACCAGAAATGACCTCTAAACGACAGCGCTTGTATTTGTAAACATAAGAGGGATTGGCCGTTTCGTGATGGTTTCAATTTGATCTAAAGCTTTAGCATACATGCAGCTGCTTTGTGACACATCCCAAGGCAGAAACGCATTCTGCAGCGAAATGTTTACACACTTGATTGGCTAAAGTAGACGTGTTCTAGACGTGAACGCACTCTTTCCAGCACTCTTCCTTCTGCGTTCACACAGCGCAGCTTTTCCAGCAAATTACCAGTTACAAGTTACAACTTCTCCTTACGGAAAATTGACGTAACAGATTTACCGGTATTTTCAAAATGAGCCTGTTCACACATACAGACCTTTCCGGAAAATACCTGTATGTGTTAGGGGGTTTTGTTTTAGGTCCCCTGGTGTTCTTAACAGTATATGTAACACAGGCCCACAAAAGGCTTTTTTTTTTTTTTAATTGAGATAATTGAATTAAAATCATATGAACAATGAATAAAAAAGGCTTCCATTGATGTGTGGTTTGTTATAGGACACTATTCGGCTGATATACTGCTATATTGGTTTGATCTGTCCTTGTCTTTATACATTAAGAGTGCAACTTAGTTTGGTAAATCAGTATTTTTTAATAATCGTTCTCTTTATGTATGCATTCAAAACAGGCAATGTGTCAGACCAAAGTGACATCCAATCCTTGTCCTGCCAGCTGGCCAATGCACCAGGTGCCAAGATGGCTGCCTCAGGAGAGAGGAGGTTTCCTCTTGGACAAGATCCTAATTCAGGGCCCACGGGAGCTCAAGCTTGTGCGAACCAGCAGCCCGGTGGCCTGAGCCGAATGGGTCTCCAGCCAAACAAGACTCAGTTTCATGGGACAAACAGTCAGGGTGGCGCTTTTCAACTGGTGAGGACCAGCGTCAGTCAAGATTCCCTGCTGGGGCAAAGACTGAGTGACAGCAGGATGGACGCTGCTTTAAACTGGGCGACAAGTGCCAAACAGAGTGGATTAGATGTCAAACGTCTCCCCAATGCAGTGGCACCCCAAAGTGACGTTCATTTCGCTCCTAGGTCTATTTGCCCTCCCAACCAGGTGGCACCTCATTCAAGCCTTCTACCGCTAAACCCTGCTAACAGAAGCTCTGCTCCCAGATCCAGCCAGCCTAGGATACCCCCGTTACCCGGGGTGAACCAGTCGTCTGTCGAACAGCAGGGTTGTCCATCCACATTTGGAGGGATGAACCAAAGCCCGGTGACGTACCAGAACAACCGGGCAGGACGTCTGACCTTTGACTTCCTACCAGAGGACGATAACACGGTACCAGGGATCAATGCGGACTCTGATTTCATCGACTCTCTGCTTAAATCAGGCTCAGGCAACGATGACTGGATGAAAGACATCAACCTGGAGGAAATTCTAGGAGGACATTCATAAAAAACTAAACAAGGGACCGTTGTTGGAACTTTGTTCTCTACTTGAAGCCGTGCATTAAAGGAACACTCCACTTTTTTGGCTCATTTTACAAGTCACCTAGAGTTAAACAGTTGAGTTTTAGAATTTTTAAAACTATTCAGACGATTTTGGGTCTGGTGGGAGCACTTTTAGCTTAGTTTAGCATAAATCATTAAACCGGATCAGACCATTAGCATCTAACCCAAAAAAATTTTTTTTAAAGAGTTTGGATAGCTTAGCATAAATTATTTAATCACATTGCACTGTTAGCAACTTAGCATTCTTTTCCTAAATTAAAAACAAGTTTCAATAGCTTAGCATAAGTCATTGAATCGGATTAGGCCATTAGCATCTCACTCAAAATAAATTCAAAAATGAGTTTTGATAGCTTAGCATAAATCATTGAATTAGATTAGACTGTTAGCATCTCAGTCAACAAAAATTCAATAAAAAGTTTTGATAGCTTAGCATAAATCATTGAATCGGATTAGACCATTAGCATCTTACTCAACAAAATATAAAAAAGAGTTTGGATAGCTTAGCATAAATTATTGAATCACATTAGACTGTAAGCAACTTAGCATCCGTTTCCAAAATTAAAAAAAAAGTTTCAATAGCTTAGCATAAATCATTGAATCGTATAAGACTATTAGCATCTCACTCAACAAAATAAAAAAAAAAGAGTTTGGATAGCACATAATTATAATACACTGAAAAAAGTGTTGCATGCAAAACTGTTGCAAACAATTTATTTGTGTTGAATTTAAACAAACAAATTAAGTTTAATAATGTTCAACCTAATTTGTTTGTTTAAATTCAGCGCAAATAAATTGTTTACAACAACTTAACGTAAAAAAATTTAGTAAATCCAAGGAATCATCTTTGAATGATTTTTTTCAGTGTACCTTTAAATAGTCCCAGCTAGCAATCTAGGTTGACTTTAGCTTAGGGATGGCTGACGTGAATTGATGTTTCAACACAGTTTTAAGGTCCTGAAGTCTTTCGAAACACTGCACCGAAGCATGATCTGAAACAGCCAGGTCATGTGACTAAGGTGATTCGAAACACCAGGTCACATGATTGAAGCGATTGAAAGCATCGGCCATTTCAGAAGCGTTTGAAGACCTGCCAAATCTGCCTTTGACTGACAGGGGAAAAAAAAACTGTTTCATGTAGTCTAGTGGACCGCATGGATGTTGCTAGGCCTATTTTAGGGGGCCTGTAGCCCCCTATATTTCTACTCAGCCCCCCTATAACTTTTGCAATTAGCTCATAAACTGTACACTAAATTATCTCCTCAGTCCTCTTTAAATTTGATAAGAAAACGGCGGCAGAATTCGGCTCTTTTCCGTCTTTTTATTTTTCATTTGATCAGCAAACCAAGGCCGTGGACAGCAAGAGAACGAGGTGTGTGTTTATCGATAATTTGTTATAATATCTGACATTTTGCAGTTCTTTGATAAAGATAACCTTATATCCTCTGTATTCCAATGTCACGGAGGAGCAGTCGGGTTTTCTCTGCATTCACCTTATCAGTTGGAGTAACTCTTAACGAACATTTTTCTATTTTTGTTTCAAAATGAACTACCAGCAATGAACACTGTACAGTTCATGTATCATTAACTAAACAATACAGTCTTGCACAGAAAGGATTAAGCACAGTGACAGAATAATGTACCCATTTATGTGTCACACTGACAGAGATAGAAACATCAACTGTTGTCTAGTATTAAAAAAAATACTTCTTATTTATTATTATCATTCAGATCATGAAATATGTGAATAAGCCTGTAATTAGAAAAAAAAAAAAAAAATATATATATATATATATGTCATTTAATTAGTAAAGTGGCAATTTTTTTAATTTAATACATGCAAACAAAAATGCACTTGAATATAGAAAGTGGCTTTTACTATAGTAAACAGGTGGGTTGAGCCTATTTGGCTTATTCAGAACTCAAATGGCTGTGCCTGTCTATGTAATATAGTTGAATAACTATTATATAACATTTTTAAATGTATTACTGTTAAATTACTACTTAAAATTGTAATATAAGGCTATGTATATATATAAATATATATATATATATATATATATATATATATATATATATATATATATATATATATATATATATATATATATATATATATCGCTCCTGGTGGAACATACATGTGCACAAAGTTCCTGTGCTGCAAATGGCCCAGGTTTGAATCCCGATTAGTACAAATGCTCTAAAATTATGACTTGATTTATTTTAATAATGCCACTGTTTTATGACCAAAACAAGGCATATTTATTCAGATGTCAGACCAATGTTAAAACAAAACACGTTACAAGAACAGAGCGTTTAAAAACTAATGTTTATAATTACATCACCCTGGATTCGAACCCATTCGAATACCAAAATTTGCTAAACTGTTGCTTTGCTTAAGCCAGTGGTTCTCAAACGTTTTTCATCAAGTATCACCTTAGAAAAAAATTGTCTCTCCTAGTACCACCAAAATGAGCAGTATTGAAATGAAGTAGCATAGTAGGCCCAGTAAAGCAGCTGCAAGTCTGCACAGTTAAAAAACCTGGCAGATTACCTCAGAAATTTAGGCTATATATCATATGGCATTTTATATACATAATTTTTAATCCATTTTGAAATGTATGTAGCATGTACATGACATATTTCATTCCTCCGTGTACCACTAGAAGGAAGCCCGCGTACCACTAGTCGTAAACGTACCAGTTTGAGAAACACTGGCTTAAGCTGTTTTAGAGCAATACACAAACATGACCACCAGGTGTCACTGTAGAAACGGGTTTAGAAACGTTTCGAAGCTTGACACATTTGCTGTTTTAGTGTATTATGAAGCCTCGCTTTGCCCACCACTACTTTAGATTGCCACACAGTGCTGCATAAAGACACGGGATGTGTCAAAATCACGGATGCTGCCACAGTTACACTTATTTTCATTATTACTGTTATTTTTGTTCTTTGTTTGGCACAAGTGCAGTTGTTTTTGAAGGTTTGCCATGATTTGCAGTCAATATTTGAGAGGAAATATAATTTTGATGACAATATCTTTAAGATTAATTAGGCCTAAACGCATGCCAGGACCAGGGCTTTGCAGTAAAATGGGAAACTTTGAAAATAGCGACTTTTCATTTTCCGTTAGTCTTAGTACACAATGAAGCCACAGAAGAGTCAAGGTTTTAAAGGGGAAAATTATTTATGCTCTTTTTTTCGATTTTATTTTATTTTTTTTTGAGTGAGATGCTAATTGTTTAATCTGATTCAATGGTTTATGCTATGCTAAGCTAAGCTAAAAGTGCTCCTGCCAGCTCAGGAGCTCGGCTAAATGGATTCCATCATGGTCAAATTCAACTGTTTGACTCTAAAATGAGCCACAAAAAGTGTCTCTTTAAAGGCTTGTGAAAATATTTTATTGTCCTTGTAGTTGTGCGGAAAACAAATGTACTACTATACTGTTGAATTGTTTCTTCATATCGCCTACTAACATGTTGTAAAGTTCAGTGTGCGTGGCTTTGTGTTTTAAATCAGCCACGCACTTTCCCCTAAATTCATCATTGTTGAAATGTTGTGAAATTTCTGTTCAAGCTTTTGCTACTAATCAATAAGCACAGAAATGAACGTGAAAGAAGCTGTGATTGGACTGCCAAGACAGAGCCGCAGTTTGTAATTAGAAAGTTAAACACCTTTCATAATTGATTATTTAAAACTACTGTCGTGTAACAAAATAACTCAGATTGATTGTCCATTTTCAAATTACATTTCAATGGCTACGATGAAGAGCCATTTCTATATCAGTTTATTACGCACCCAAAATAATAAAATCTGTAAAGGAAATACACACATATGTTCAGAGTGTTAGAGGACATTGTTAAAGGATTAGATCAGCTTTCTTTAGAACGTTCTTATTATTGATAATGTTGTATTTATACATCTGTATCGGTATATAAAATTATATTTTTTTCTATTTCTTTTCTATAATGCGCTATAAATCTGTAATAAAAGTGTATATCCTATGTCAGTTTAGACCTTGATAATAAACAACATCAAAGATCAGCACATGTTAAAGATTCATTTTTTATATTCAGTTCTGGGAAACACCCATACACACATTCAGTTATATATACTACAGCCAGGCTACACAGTGGTGCCGTAGGTAGTGCTGTTGCCTCACAGCAAGAAGGTCGCTGGTTCGCAGTTGGCGTTTCTGTGTGGAGTTTGCATGTTCTCCCTGCGTTTGTGTGGGTTTCCTCCACAGTCCAAAGACATGTGGTACAGGTAAATTGGGTAGCTAAATTGTCCGTAGTGTATGAGGGAATGTATGTGCGTGTGTTTCCCAGAGTTGGGTTGTGGCTGGAAGGGCATCCGCTGTGTAAAAACATGCTGGATGAGTTGGCGGTTCTTTCCGCTGTGGTGACCTCGGATTACTAAAGGGACTGAGCCAGGG